GCTCAGAAGTAGAGGTGTGCAAGTCATTGGAATTTCCCTATTAACAGAAAACACGACACTGGATAAGAGGAAACCAGCGCAACACGGCCACGTGTGCATGTGCTTTGTAAAAAAAGTATATTCTCTGTGTACTTATTACTTGATGTGTTCCTATAAGTTCTATTTCAGAGATTCTGGGTTGGAAACACAAATGTGGAAGTGAGGATCTCCACTTTAAAAATGTAAAACAAATAAAACAAACAAATAAAAAAAGGTATAAAATTCCCTTTCCTGTCACCTCTGAAGAAACTGGTTTGGGCAAGGACAGTGCCCACTTGTGGTTTCACCTGGAATCACCTGGGATGACAAGGAGAAGGGAACAGCAAGGGCTTCAAGAGGGGACAGACCACACTTTGTTGAACTGCTGTCGGTGACCAAAACAGGGCGACCAATGCAGCTCAGAAAAGCCTGGCTCCTATCCCAAGAGCGCTGCTTCACCCAGATCTGAAATAGCCTGGCATTAGTGTCTTCGAAAGCATTCGAGATTTTCCTCTGAAAGAAAGAAATTGGTTTCCTTAGTAGTCACAGATGTTAAAAGGGTCTTATCAATTGTATCCTTTAAAAACAAAACAAAACAAAATCCACAGCTACAACAACAAAAATAAATTTTGGCAACGTATTTCAGTAAAGGTCAAACTATGTGCAAAAAGTGGATTTGAAGATTACGAGGAGCTACTGTTCGTCTCGAACACGCAGCATTATATTGCAATCTATGCGGTATCTAGTAATCCACAAAATGCAGGAAATTCAGACATTCCATGAAATTGTACAACCCTACTCCAGAGCAGTCAAAGTGCTGCTTCTGGTACATCAGCGTACCGCGCGCGCCAGCCCCATCCCTGAGTTAAGTGTGAAAGATTCCGCACAGTTCCTTAGAGGGGAAACAGAAGGGGGTGCCACTTCCTGGTGGGGCGGGGAACCCCGACACTCACCTAACAGAAAACACAGGGTGATTGATGGGATCAAGAATGAAAATCAAATTATCCCAAAACAAACTAGGTGAGCTGGAAAAAAACCAACCCAAAGAATTAAAAAAACCCCACATACCCTAAAATTAAAAAAGATCCACAGAGATAATTATCCCAAGAATTCAAATAAAATGCAATTTGGATTTCTGTTTAAAAAGATTTGAGGTAAGTGGCACCAGTGTCTCTAACCCGCCCCTACCCAGTGTGGCCCAGATAAACTGAAATCATCCTTATTAACATCCTAAGGAACAGTCATTTTTATATATTTAGAAATCCCTAGAAAGAGAGGTTTTTGTTTGTTGGTTTATTATTATTATTATTATTTTCTTTTTCGCCCTGACTAATTTTCTTGGTGATTGTGTTCTGTTGTAAATGAAAAGGCCTGTTGTTAAATTTAATAAGGAAATACAAGAAGGAAACCAGAACTAAAGACGGGTGTTGGTAAATATTGCAGAGTGGACATCATACGGAGGCACGTGGCTGATCCTCGTTAGCTGAACGGCACCGAAGGATGTCTACGCCTGTCATTGATAGGTCTGTGAGCCACCGAGCAGGGACAGCGGTGATCTAGCAGCTGTGGGGCCCGCCATGTTCTGGAAACCCAAGGAAGCTGCCTGTCCTCTGGTATTCTTCCTGTTAGCAGGGAAAGCTGCCATGAAACAGGAGTGACTTCTGTTGGCAGGGCAGTCCCCTCCACCGCCGGCGTCCAGCCAGCTTGGAATGACACTTGCACAGTCGATCTCCTTATGCTCAGAGTCACAGTGCACAGACCCAGAGGAAGGGCCTGTCCACCGGCAGGGCACACACCGTGGTGTATTGCCAGGCTCTGGCCAACCCGCTCCCGAGAGAGGTTTAGAAATGAAGCTGATTCTTCTCCAGTCACAGCGCCTGCTGGTGATGAGAGAGGGGCAGTTTTCCCCCCTTACAGCTCAAGTTCTTGGTTTCGTTTTTTGTTTTTTTTTCTGCTGTGTGGCGACAGACATAGACAGACAGACAGAGAGACAAGCAGGCAGCATCTGCAGGGAGGATAGGGGAGATGGCGGGAGGTTGTTGCCTTCCTAGTTCGACCCCCCCCTCCCCAGCCTTTCTCTAGCCAGAACAGGTTTTGGGTCAGAAGAGCAAACAAACAAGGAAAAATAGCCAACAGGATCCGAGCTTTAACTACTAGCACACGGTCAGACTAGATTGCCACAGAAAGTATTGCACATGCTAAAATGCAAGGGAAAGAAATGAGACGATGTATAGAAAGAACCAATCCATTAGATCACTCCTATACCTGAAATAGAAGCATGTGTATTATGGTGATGTTCCTATTGCTCCAAACCATGTGATGTATTCCCCCCCCGTTTTAGTGTTGGTTTAGTGGATCCAGTCTGTTCAAGGCTCTGCTTCCTCGGAAGCCACAAGGTGGTATGTGGTTTGTTTTGAGTCCATATGAGTTGCCGTAAATAGTGGTATGCATGACAACAAAGTCTATATGGCAGCCCCGTATTCCTCTCACCATCGAAGGTTTAAAAAAAAAAAAAAGGAAAACAAAAACCTAGTAATTGCAAGTGCCCTGAGCAGAATATATGGAAGAGTAAGCAAGTTCTCTGAACAGAAACATTAAAGAGAAGAGGAGAAAACAAAAAATAATAGCACTAAATAAGGCGGTGTGACCGCCAAAGGGGGCAGGCTCGGCATCCTTGACTGGCATGCTGGTCAAATTCCAGAAAAGCCAAGGATTGGCTCCAGCTGTCTGAGTCATACTCATATGTTTTTGGTACACCCCAGGAAACAGTTTAAACAAATCATTCACTCTGGCGAGAGCAAAATGCAAAAGTCATAAAAGAGAGCCGAAATGTGGGTTTTGCATTACAACTTGTTATTTAAAAAGAAAAAGTAATTTCTGAAACAGAAAAGTTCTATTTTCAAAGGCAAAAGAAACCCCAATAAAACCAAACCAGATTAAGTATGCGTTCAGAATAGGTGCAGCTATGGTGGTAGCTACAGCTAACTAAACATTTCCCTCTCTTTATAAAACTTGTATTTTTTGAAGTGCTTGATGATGCCTGCTCAAAACCCACAAACACTATTCCAGGTCTCTGGGAATGAAATATTTAAACCATGAAATACCCTTCCTAGGGGTTTGTACCAAACATCACATCTTGATTTGATTTCTAATGGGGAGGGCAAAGTCATTCTTAAAATAACATTAATCACGATAACAAAGTAAATTTCTTAAGGACAAACTTGTTCACATACATAAATGTCTATGGAAAACTCTCTCAATGAATCTGAAGAAAATTCTCAGAGTTGTCCTGCTAAGACCCAGTTCTTTGTTGATGGATGTGGCAGAAAAGACTAAAATAAACTTTGAAAGGAACATAACCTTATAAAACAGCCTAGCATGTAGGCAGGTTAGAAAGTAATTGCTACATTTATTTATGCTGGTTCATTCCCCCCAAACATTTCCCACAATGTTATTGGATAAAAACTGCAGGAATATCACACAAATTAGAAACTCAAGATGTGCAAATCGCAAGATTCTTTAAAAGTTCATCATCTTACAAAAAAGAAAAACACTGGACAAAAATGAGTATTCTTTTCTCTGTCCCTTTTTTCTCTCTCCATTTCTCTGCCAGCTCTGCATATGCCTTTAACTCTCAAACATCAAAGTGAAAAGTGCCTCCTGTCAGGTAGTACTTGGTGGTCATCTATTGTCACATACTAGGTCATAATTCACATTCATCCTTTTAAACCACATAGAAACTTTCAAGGTCTTGCTCGGGAGAAATTCTGCAGAGCTGAAATGTAGTTTTAACAGTGTTGGTTTTTAAAAAAAAAAAGAAAGAAAGAAAGAAAGAAAAAGCAAGCAACTTTTTTCCCCCTTCCTAAACAATTTAAATTGAGATACAGTACTTGTTGAATGCTAGACCAAGATGCTTGGTAATAAAGTGTGAACGGCATTTTAAGTGCTCAGAGTAATATATGCTCCTCCGCAAAAATCTAATTCCTTATGTCACACTGGGATCTGAAAAAAAAGTGGCACCCAAGTTGTCCATAGTCAGGAACTATAAACAGTACTAGAGTTAAAAGACACAAGATTTGCAAACTTCATGCAAAGAACTTGGGCTGTCTCACCGAAGGGCAGTTTGCATCTACCTCTTGGGAGCAAATAACCTGATGAATTTTTTTCCACTGCACAGACCAGAGTGGGTGTATGTTCTCTCCCCATCCCTGCCCCTGTGGAGCGGTGCCTGCTGGGGTCCCTGCCCACTATGACACCCTGGCAACATCACTGCACTAGGAAAGCAGAAATGAAACCCCACATGTGGCAGTTGTTCTTTAAAAAAATATTATCAGTGCAGTCAGGCCCCATAGGGGGAAATAGAGAGATATATATAGATCTAGGATTAAAAGTTGCTTTATTGTAAAATATGTGGAAAGGGTAAGGGAAGAAAGTTCTTTCAAATAGTTAGCTTTCCTCCTGATGTCTGATGCCCCAGGAGGATGCCCTAAAGCTGGGTTCTGGACATTTCTTTTGTATGTGAGAACCTCACTGGAGACACTGCTGTGCACCTGAACCCATGCAGAGAGCAAGACAGAGGGAGGCAGAAAGAAAGGGACCTCACTTGCCCACTGCCACCCCATATTCCCAGGCACACACACACGCATACACATGCTCGCTGCATCCACACAGCCTCCCCTGGGATGCGCAGGAGCCGGTACCCACTGGACATCCCCGAAATGGAGAGAGAGGCAGGAGTGGTGATGCCACCTACGTTTCCCTGGCCACCCGTGCTCTGCCCATCCACCCGCCCACACACTGACAGACACTCCTGGAAAAAGCATATGCACCAGCCTCCTGCAAAAACACCAGCTGTAACTCTAATGACAAGATTATAACATAAACCTAAAGTAAGAGGATAACATGTAAATACTGTGTTATTTCACCTACAGTACAGTAATCTGGATAAAAAGGACAAGGGAGGGCCTTCCCCAGCACTGCCTTTACTTGCCTACATTGGAGCGGCCTTCAATGGAAATCTTAACCTCCTGAGGGATTAGAGAAGGTTTAGGAAGAGTCCAGGGTGGCTCCTCATCTGACTTCTCCAGTTTGCGGGTCTCCGGGGCCGACCACCTCCTCTTCCTCGTGGCCGCGGGCTTGCCAGGTTCGATTTTGGTGACCAAGGGTGTTGGAGGCAATCCGATTTTTTCGGGAAACTTCAGTTCTCCGTTTTCAGCGAGCATCTGGGCACTTCCCTGGCTGATGCCATTCTCCTGCTCGGTGTAGCGGTGTCGGGCGCCTGGGAGGCTGTCGGCCTTGGGGTGCTTCAGCAGAACGCTGGCGGGGTCCACAGACTGGCCCTTTTTCACGGAGCCATTCTTCAGGTTCTTGAGGGTCAGTGAGATGCAGACGTCCCCAACGGAGAGTTTGGAACATGGTAAGTCGAAGAGCTGGCTGGTTCTCTCGGGACAGCAAGATGACCAGCCTTGTCCAAACACAAAAAAAGGGTACTCGACCAACACTTCAACGCTGACCTGCAGACACAGTGGGAGAGGAGACAAGGAGAGGGAGAGAGAAGGACGCGAGTGAATACATTTTATTCTCTTATTATAAGCATTTTTATGGGAAGTGTCCAGGGTGCCTACACTTGATGTATAGAGACACTGGGCAGCAGCCAGTGACAATGTCCATTCCGTCTTCAGAAGGAAATTTCCCTGCCTCTTAGCTCTACAGCTGGTCTCTGTTCAGCCAAGTCAGTCAACCTGCAAGAAGACACACATCCACCTGCACACTCTGAGTGAGGTTCTGTTAGTGACACACATGCTAGGATCCACTCGGCCTTGTGCTCCTAGCTCTCACTGGGTGAATGTGACAAGTACACATGACAGAGCCTAAGTGGGGTCTGAGTCAGGATGATCGTAAGCCCCCAAGGCAGGCATTCTTCAGTTTAGTACGGTATCACGGTTTATCGCTTCAGCCCCTGTGTACCTGGCACATGGTTGGGGACTGATAAGAACCTATGGAGTAAATTAATGTCTGTCTAGGAGTTTGGCTCAGTGGCAAGAAGGTGTGTTGACAATCTGAAGGTACATGGTTTGACTCTACCAACTGCTCTGTGGGAGAAAGATGGGCAGTCTCCTCCTGTGTGATATGCTGCCTCTGAAGACCTTCTGGAGGGTCAGCTATGAGCCTGTTCTGACTTGATCTATACAGTAGCATTTAGCAATTGAGGGAAGGTTTCATCAGCTACCACCAGCCACCTTTTTCTCTTTGTTATCCTGCAGTGCACTGCAAGCTGTGTAGCTGGCATTTCAAACATCAGCATGTTTGTTTACTCACAGTGGAGAGGTTTCAGCAGAGATTTTAGAGTAAGACAGCCTAGGAAGAAAGGCCTGGAGTTTGACTTCTAGAAATGAGCCAGTGAAACACCCTATGGATCATAACAGAATATTATCCAGTGTTGTGCTGGAATAGGAATCCCCAAGAAGAGGAGGTATTCAGAACCCATAGTGACTCCAATAGTGGACTCGAGCTAGCAGTGACGGTGACCATGGTGTTGCATTGAGCGTTCTGTTCTGTTCCATTCCGTATACTCGTTCTAGGCTCACTAGCTTGGTGGCAACTCACAACAATCAGCAAGGGAGCAGTAACCACGGAGTACTTTCCTGGGACCCTGAAGGAAGGGTAGGGTTTGGAGAGGGCTGCAGAATAGACAGGACCCCTGGTGGCAAACAGTATAATGTCTTGGGATGCTAAGTGAAAGGTCAACAGTTCAAATCCACCAGTGCTCCACTGGAGGAAGACGGTAAGTCTCCTCCCATAACGATGCACAGCCTTGGAAACCTGATGGAGAGTCACTATGAGCCTGAGCCAACCTGATGGCAGCAGGCTTGTTAGGCTAGATGCCAGTGAGGTGACAGTAAATGGATGCATACAGGTCAAGTCTTGGGAATCTAGAGCCCAACCTCAAGTTCCTAAATCACTCTCAGTATTTGTTTAATTGACAAATAAGAGAAATAAATGAAGTCCAATATCCATTAATTCATTGCCATTTTCTATATACCATAATATTCCATGCACTGTAGCTAGGAAGGAAGTTGAAAAAAATAGAGCCTTGGAGTTGACAATTGAGAGTGGGAAGACCAGGCATGTGAACAGGTAATTATCCATCAACATGGCAAGCAAAGCTGTAGAGCTTTGCATGGTATGACATTGTCCGAGGACAGAAGACAAGCATTTTGACCAGACTGAGGAGACAATGAGTAAAAAGAGTCCTTGGATGAGAAAATACCTGTGCTGCGAATTAAAAAGCAGTGGAGGTATAGTTTATGGGAGAGATCTTCCCAGAACTCAGCATGGATGAGTGAAGCTTGCAGGCAGTATGTGCAGGGAACTACCGACTGTCCAGGGAAAGTTCCTGCCACTCAGGACAAAAATGCTAGGATTGTTTGCTTATTCCTGCCTCCTGGTGGGAGTCAGAGGCAACATGACATTTGCAATTCTAGAAGTACTCTTCCTTAATACGTCAGTCATCTGTCCCTTTCACCGCTCTGCATGCTCTGACTCTTGGAGCCAGATTCCTTGTAGGCAGAGGGGATGATATCTCTAATGGACAGGCTCTTGGTATGGGAATCATACTACACATGCTCTTCAGAACAGCCAACTTCTCATGGGGAGTTCTGGTGGCCTTGTGGTAAGGAGCTGTGCTGCCAACACAAAAGTCCATGGTTCAAAACCACCAGATGCTCTGCAGGAGAAAGGTGATTTACTGCCTTCCAAAAACCACGGATGGGTCAGCTATGCATCAGTTCTGAGTAGATGGCACATGGCAATAACAAAAGCATGCTCACAGATAAATCAGTCTGACACTTAAGCTTTTCACATGCTACCTAAAGCCAGAAGAATTATTGAGAAGAAACCTCTTCAGGGTCTTTGTAACAGGATATATGATGGGTTATCTACAAAGCTATGATAGAAACTTCTGTTGAGTTGCTTCCTGTTCATAATGACCATATGGGAGAACTGCCCCTTAGGGGTTCTGAGGCTGTAGATCTTTACAGGAGCTGGGTGTCTCATCTTTTTTTTCCAAGGAGTGGCTGATGAGTTTGAACTACTGACCCAATGTTTAATCTCAGTGTTTACCCTCCATTATCAACTCACTGCTGTCATATTGATTAAATGTCATGTGGACTATGGAATACTATACACTGCATTGAAAAACAAGGAACTCATGAAATATTATTCAAAATGGGTGACCCTGGATGGAGGACATTATGCTGAGTGAAATATCTCAGTCACAAAAGGAAAAATACTGCATAGTGGCACTGTTGTAAAACGGAACTGACACAGGGGTTGGGTGAAGACTGAGAAAGATGGGATAAATTATGTAAACTGCATTGAAACAGATGAGAGAGAGAACTTGTTAAAAGGTATATATATGATTAAGCATTATTGTTATGACATGAGTCCAGAACAAAGGCTGCATAGTGGAGTGGACTGGGGAGGGAGGGAATGTATAACAATGAAATACTTTTTCTTTTACTTTTCAAAGAGAAGAACAAACTGGAGTGGAAACTGGGAGGGGTGGGTAGGGAGAAAAGTGCAACAACGAATGAATGGAAATCCAAAATCTCTGTAAATTTTCATTAAAATGAGTAATAATAATAATACAAATAAGAAAAAAAGTCATGTAGACTCTCTCTCAGATTTTCAAGGTTGTAAATCCTTACCAGAGGAGCTGGCCCTTCTTACTTATATACTGAAGTGGCTGGCAGATTAGAACAGCCAGTCTTACGAGTTAGCAGCCTGACATATCCAAAGCTTCCCTCATCTCAAAACTTCAAAGATGGGTCTTGGAATGAAATCCTGTGGTGTGGTTTACTGCTAAAACAGTCTAAAAATTCATGAAAGAAATGCGAGGGAAAGAAAGATTATTTTAGATGTGCACTAAAAAGAGCTGATGTTAATGGGATCTATTTTAACCTGCCTAGGTTTGGGTGCTCCTCCTCCAGTACTTCAAAGGCCTGCCTTTGACCTATGAGCCTTGCTCCTAAATCCTGGCTTCACCTCGGCCCAGAGTTGTCAGCCATCTGGGTTGCAAAGATGCCATCATCACATGTCCTCACCTAGGTAGGCATGATCCTAAGACTGACGAAGTACACAAACTTTTGGGGTAAGCAGAATGAAAAGAATTTCTCCCTTTATTTGGTCCAAGTTAAAATCTTGTTGTCCATATCTCAACTAAGTACACAAATGTATTCACAGCAAATCCATTTTTATATCATAGTTAGATTTGTCATGTGGCTTCTGGGAGCCATACACTGGCTTAGATGGGCCCTATGTATAACGAAGAAAGTGTCTGCTCAAGTGCCATCATCACAACCTCTGCTTTGCCTGGGCTCTCTGCTGTAGCCACCATGTCAATCCATCTTGCGGAGGGTCTCCCTCTGTATTCTGACCTTCTACTCTGATTTCCTTCTCCAAGGACTGATCCCTTCTGTTTTATCACACAGACATAAAAAGCCTTAACCTTACCGTTAGTGTTCTTCCTACTGTTAGTCAGTTCTTAAAAGCTGTGACAAGTCATTATTAGTAAAGGAAGAAATCACATGGAGGGATTTTTCCAGTGAGGGTATACATGGTCAGATCTGTCTGCTTGAAATTATTAAAGGAGTTTTCTCAGCCTCAAAAATGTCAATGTTAATAGAACCTGTTTTGAACTTGCAAGAGACAGTTTGATTTTGTTATTTTTAAACTAGAACAATGAGGCTTTAATGAACTCCTTGAATGTGACCACCAAGTGGGTATTCCACACAGTACTGAGATAATTGATCCTGAAATACTATCAATCACCTGTTCATTATGACACTTTGACAGGTCATGCCATATTAAGAGAAACAAACCAAAACTCAAACTCACTGCTGCTGATTCCAGCTCATGGTGATACCTCGTCTGATCCGAGACCAGCCAGCTTCTTTCCACAGAGAGGGTTGTGTGTTCGAACTGCCAACCTTTGGGCTAGCAGGTCAACCATTTACTATTCAACACCTAGTTCTTGCCTTCAATGAGGAGACAAAATTTAGATGCAAAACATGGGGCTTCAGCAAATGATAGGGTACTCTGAGTCATGTGATCTGAAGAACACCACCTTGATGTGTATTAGCAACTCAGTATGTACAAAACAGTCCTTCTGATTTGCACCCATTCTGTTATGTGTTCTACTTTCTTCCCTATATTAATGAATGATTTCCATGTTTTTCCAAAAGTTCATGTCAAAGAAATGAGAATCACACTTCTTTCTCTTACATCCTATACATCCAAATCACAAGTAAACCCAATTGGTTCTTTTTCAAACTTAGATCTAGAATCAAAGCAGCTTTCACTATCTCCACTACCACTGTCCTTGCCAAACCAGCATCTCACATAGAGAAAAGGCCACCTGTCTTGACAGTAATCTCCTAACTGGACCTTTTATGCAACAGACACTTGAGCTACATGCTGAGAAATAAAGCTGAAAATATAGGAAGGGATAAGA